CCTCTAAATTCTTATATGCATGATTTGATAGCTTCATATTTCTATCCTATTTATTAATTTGTTTTGGCCAATTAGATTGATCTATCTTGCAATGGGAGAGGTGCTTTGTGATGGGTTCAATCTTGCGGTGTCCTCTCCTAGTGACAGAAGGGGCAGGGAGGCACGTATTGTATTGTTGCTATTAAGGGTAAAAAGATGGGGTTTATATTATATTACTTGAGTTTATCCCTCCACATCATGTCATCTTGATTAAAGTGTTACTCTGTTCTTATGAACTTAACTCTAGATGCAGGCAGGAGTCGGTCGATGTGTGGAGTAATAGTAGTAGATGCAGAATCATTTCGGTCTACTTGTCATGGACGTGATGCCTATATTCATGATCATTACCTTAGATATCATCATAACTATGCGCTTTTTTATCAATTGCTCAACAGTAATTTGTTTACCCGCCGTATGCTTTATTCAAGAGAGAAGCCTCTAGTGAAACCTATGGCCCCCGGGTCTATTTTCCATCATATATTTTCAGATCTATAAAACCAAAAACCCAAAAATACCTCACTGAATTTTATTTACTTTTGTTTCTTTTATATCCATCTCTATCAGATATCACCCTTGCAAGTGACCATGAAGGGATTGACAACCCCTTTATCGCGTTGGGTGCAAGTGTTTGATTGTTTGTGCAGGTGCATATATTGGAGACTTGCTTGTACCTCCTACTGGATTGATACGTTGGTTCTCAACTAAGGGAAATACTTATTTCTACTTTGTTGCATCACCCTTTCCTCTTCAATGAAAAAACCAACGCAAGCTCAAGAAGTAGCAGGGAGGGGGCACCCAAGAGGAGACACAAAGCCCCTGGCGCTCCTCTCTCTCCCATTACTCCGTAGTTCCAACACATCATCCCGGCGACGCTTAGCAAAGCGTTGTCGGTGCTCCACCACCACCATCATCACCATGCCGTCGTGTTGGACCATCATCACCATGTCGTCGTGTTGGTTGTGATCCCATCTACTTCTCCTTCCCTCTTGCTGGATCAAGAAGGAGGAGACGTCAGCGAGCCGCACGTGTGCTAAACTCAGAGGTGTCGTCCGTTCGGCACTAGATTGGTTGGATCGTGATTGGATCACAAAGAGTAGGACTACATCAACCGCGTTATATACGCTTCCTCTTAGCTATCTACAAGGGTATATAGATGATCTCCCCCTCTCGTAGCTATGCATCTCCATGGATAGATCTTGCGTGTGCGTAGATTTTTTTTGTTTTCCATGCAACTTTCCCCAACAATGGTCACCTGTCGAAGATGGGCCGGGGGCCCCTAGAGTCACAGTCGACCTAACTAAGAAGCTAGGAGCCCCCTATGGGCTCATGGCCTCATGGGGTTCCCTCTCTTGTTCCTCTTCAATCCCGACACTTATATATACCTCCGGATCTTCATTATATTTATCATGGAATTTTATTCACAAATCAATTCACGATTTAAGGCGAAAGTCATCTACAGCCCTGTTCTGGATTCTGCCGGAGGTGCGAATCATTGTCTTCAAACTTTTCATTGACCCTCTACTGCTCCCATGATGACATGTGAGTAGTGCACTCTTGGACTATGGGTTTGTAAGTAGCTATGCATCAATCTATCCCCACTCTTTGATGTTATAGATCACGTGAGCTACCTAACATGATTGTGATCCATATGACACAATTATGGCGGTTACTTTTGTTATGTGATGATTGTTTCTTTATTATCTAATCATGTGTGATGTTTTGCATGGCTTATAGATGCATATACTTGCTCTCTGATTCACTAGTACACCCACTAGCCATTTTAGATGAAAGATCAATAGTGGGAGTGGTGTGCATTAGATGGGGTTAATTTTTATAAGTGAAGTTTCAGTGGCAATAAGATAGAAAAAGTTATAATTGTATTCTCGTGCACTAAGGATAGAAATATAGTTAACTCATTGTCTCAGTGATGATATTGAGGTGATGTGAATGTATTATCAATTGTATGTCATCTTGCTTAATGCAATCCTATTTTTATTTTGAACTTGATATTTGAGGATGAATCTGTTTGTCAATGGTCTTTAGGACAAGCATTAGCTATAGATGATTATGACATCTAGCCGTTCTACAGATTCATGGACATACTAGTTATATAATATCGTCACATCATATAATATAATTATCCATATTGTCTTAATCATTTATCTTGCATATCTATGCTTATATTTTCACATCGGTGCTTATTGCAGAGACCCTACTAGTGTACCTATGAATCAAGTCCAATTTACCACGTAAAAACAACTACCACTTTAATTTTACATGCACTTTTATTTTCTGCAATTGATATTCCCAAAATACAGAAACACTTTCAAAAATTAGACACACACATAACTTTGTTGCAACTAGCAAAGCTAGTGAGATTGACAACGCTAGAATTGTTGGGGATAGAAGGAAGTTTCTAATTGTATGTAAGGGCACGCATTGGGCTTGAAAAAGTTGATTACATGGATTGATATCTTGGTTCTCACTGAGGGGAATTTGCTTGCTAGTTACAAATACGCGCACTTGGTGACCCAATAACTTGCTAGCTTATGTGATTCTCTTCGAGAAAACAATACCCTAGAGGCTCTAGGCAGCTATGTGTGTTGTCCAGGCAAGATCATGCCCTCTCTGACCTCGGCCGGAGGGTGTCGGATTCCATTCAGAGGCTCCGGTGCCCGGAGGGTCTAGGCCAACTTCAAGCGCCATCCGTACAAATTCAATACCACGCTGACCTGGCCTGAAGGGCGTCGAAAGTGAGAACAACTTACACACTTTTTTGGGACCTCTCTCTCTCTCTCTCTAGGTTGTGGTTTTTCTGGCTATGTATTTTGTATGTTCATTCCCACATATTTGTATGATGCACCCCGTCTTTGTATTATGACATGCATATGACTAAAAAAACGAGAAATCGCAGGTGGAAGTGCCATAGACCGTACACATATCTTTCCTACTTAGAAATGATGGAGTTGATGACGAGTTCACATATGAGAGGATAAGGTACTTATAAAGGCTGGAGTTGATGGTGAGTTCCCATATGGGACCATATCCTACTTATAAAGGTTGGAGTCACATGTGAGACTGGCAACCTTCCAAAAGATATAAATTATAACAAACAATTGTTACTTTTTACACGGTTACAGACCTATTCCAAATAAACAAATACACTGCTACCCTAATTATGAGAAAACACTTACGATTTTTTTATATAAATGCATACAACTCTATTTCAAAATCATGGTCTTGATATTAATTTCTCTGCCCAACCAATTCTTCCAGTTCTATAGCACAGCAGAAGAGAGCAAACACATTGCAATTCCAATGCAGTCATAGACATTATCCTCCTACAAAACACATGATCTTGTGCATTCAAATTACTCTTGCCCATTCTCTTATCTTTTATCATTTAAAATGCTATCTCACCCTAAATCTTGCAAAGCACCAAAAATGGTCGCGTAAAACTCTTCAATGACTACAACATGGTCTTTCGTTATATCGGCGCTCTCTTTTTAATCATGACCATGCAACAACAATAAGATGCCATCATATTTGATGATATCCTAAGTCAACAGTATCTTATCATCTTTTTATGGTTCCTTAGCAATGCACCGCATTGTGCTAGTTTCATCTCAAAGTACACATACATTATGTAAGCACTATGCAAACATGGCTTGTCTTCTAAACATAGTGTCATTAAGACAAAATCTCATTAGGGGCAAATCATCAAGCTTCTATCTTCTCCTTCTTCTTCTTTGTCTTCTTCATCTTCATCTACTTCTTCAGATTGAGTCTTCCTTTTGCTGTTGCGCGTACTCCCACAAAAGTTATCAAGGAAGCAATTCCAGCTGCTAGCTAGTGGGACATAAGCACATTGAGAGGAGCAGCTCTGGTGGTCTATGGTGACCATTACGCAAAACACAACGATCATAATGACGTTTACAGTACTTCGGCGATAAACCTTCAAAATGGTGTTTCTAAATTCCTCGCTTGTTATAGCTGTACATCTCGAAAAAATGATTTGTGCCCAGCGATCACCGAACAAGATAAGCCACGGCATGCACGCCAGCGCTCAGACCAATCATAATGAGCGAGCATGCATGCATATGCTGCATGCGGCTAACTCATCCTTGCTTAGTTTTGAGTAAACTTTAAGCATAAAACGTGTTGCTGCCGAGGTGCTGACATGCTGCGTACGTATATATGATCGAATTTGCATGATCTTTCCATTATTTGCAGTTAAGCATGTTCCTTAGTGTTTCCTCTGCGTTATTGCAGACGCAGTAGTACTGTACCGAGGTGTACAAAAGAACAGAAGAGGAAAGGAAAATACACTCTATGTTCCTAAATATAAGATGTTTGTCTTGTAGTATTTAGATTAGAAGCAGAGGTACTCCTCCGTCCCATAATGTAAGACATTTTTTGACACTAGTGTAGTGTCAAAAAATGTCTTACATTATGGGACGGAGGGAGTACTTTGTAAATATAAGACGTTTGTAAATACTTTATCTGTCTTAAAATGTAAGGTGTTTTTTGATACTTTGACAGTGTCAAAAAGACGTATTGCATTTCTGAACAGAGAGTATTTAGAAACAGAGGTCTACTGCTATTTTTTTTGTGGGAAGGTCTATAATGCTAATAAGCTTGTATCAGCGTGATGTGGGCGAAATGGTTTTATACAAACGCAGACCAGAGAGACACACAACCAATTTCAGGTGAGACAAAGGAAAGCAGAAATGGCCGAGTTTATAAAAATGCACGCTTTGATGCTCCTGGTTCCTATAAATAAGCCATCGGGAACACCACTCTGCCTGCACCAGCCACACACCCAACCAACCACCCCTAGCTACCACTTCAACCTGCACTGGTCTCTGCACACTCTCGGAGTTCAGCGTCGCTCGCAGATCAAAGAAGTCAAGTTCGTGTCACAGCGAGGAGCGTCGTCGGTGAGCGTGATCGGTCGGGAAATGGTGAAGAGCGCGCAGCAGCAGCCGCAGGGGGGGCTCGGCGGCGACGGCGGCAATGCGGTGGCGGCGAGGCAGGGCGGCGGCGGCGGCGGGAGGCAGCAGCAGCAGCAGTACAAGGGCGTGCGGATGCGGAGCTGGGGGTCGTGGGTGTCGGAGATCCGGGCGCCCAACCAGAAGACGCGCATATGGCTCGGCTCCTACTCCACCGCCGAGGCCGCCGCGCGCGCCTACGACGCCGCGCTGCTCTGCCTCCGGGGCTCCGCCGCCGACCTCAACTTCCCCGTGCACCTCCCCTTCCACGTCCCCGCCGCCGCCATGTCGCCCAAGTCCATCCAGCGCGTCGCCGCCGCCGCCGCCGCCAGTGCCGGCAGCAGCCCCCTGCAGCCTCCCCACACCATGGCCTCCTCTGCCTCCTGGCCCGGCGCCGCCCCGCCGTGCGGCTACGGCGACAACGCGTCGTCCTTCGGCTCCCCAGAGGACCAGTCCGCCCGCCACAGCAACGCCGACGACGACGAGACCATGGCGCACGGCGACGACGGCGTGGACTACGACGCGCTGGCGGACATCGACGCCTTCTTCCAGTCGCCCAAGTGCATGGACTACGCCATGATGATGGACCCGTGCAGCACCTTCTTCGCGCCGGCGCCCATGGCGCCCGTCGAGTGGGAGGAGGAAGGCGAGATCAGCCTCTGGAGCTTCTCCTCCTACAACTGATCGAGCTCAAATGCCAGCTCCGACCGAGAGCTTCGAGCTTCGAGCTTCGACTGGCCATGGAGGCCATTTCATGCTTCGACTGGTCAAATCACCACTAAGCAATTCCATCAACACTGACAGATTAATTACTCAACTACCACTACGAGTGACCAAGAATTGGTCACGGTAAAAATAATCGCAGGCCATGATCAATTCTTACTTCATGGCCTCGCGAAGAATGATGATTAATTATTATTTCATTCATATTCCGTAGCTAAATATAATATACTAGTACCACTGGCGTACTAGTAGTACGTATCCGTACAAGGCCAATTATGCATTTGTGGGGGAGGTCTGATGGAGCTACATGTTTTAAGGCAGCTTCCATGGTGCCAACTCCCTTCAATTAGTTTACATGTGTACTAGTATGTGTAAAAGCTGTTTGTGCAAGTGTGCAAGCAATGGGTTATGATGATGAATTACCTCTTTAATTTTGCTTCGTTCTAGGTGAGTACTCTACATGTTCTAAAGTCAACCTTTTGGTTAGGAGACATGGCAGAAGAGTCACATTTTCTATTTGAAGAGAGTGAAATAGCCGTTCCAAAGTAGAGTTCTTTTCAAGAGAACCAACATCATAAGAAACCCCGGTAACTGAGTGTGGATTACTCTCGAAACACCCTAGCAATTGATGGCGGTTGGCTAATGTCACACATCACTTGTCGTGCCACTTTCTAGTTTGTGTCTTGATAAGTTCGGAAATATGCGAAATTTCGGAAATTTCACATTTTAAGTTCTTTTGAATTTTGATTTTTTAAAATCCATTAAATTTTAACATATATTTTGGTGGTCTGAACCCGACTCAAAATTTCAGCGTTACAAGTACATTGGACCTCACTGCAATATGCAAAATTTAGGAAATTTCATTGGAACATTGTTGAATATTTGAACCGTGCTTTTTCCTACGTATATAGGATGCACCCGCTTCTTAGCCGCTTGCGGCAGCTACGAGGTTCATCTCCCACAAATTCTCAACAAAATCAAATAATTACACATTTTTATGGAGCCAGTTTTCCGCCAAACTAATGAAAAGGGGAAATTGGCGCATAAAATGTATGGCCTTCTAGAGCTTTTAGGCACATAGGACACACAGGGTTGTGAACTCCCTTTGACCATTAAGACGCGAGGATCCGCTTGTGAATTACCAACATAGGCAAATAGCTTGCATTTTGGCTTTATGTGAGCTTTCCAGATCTTCTAGTCCAAAACTCGGAGAAGCGACTCTTCAATTGGATCTCAACTATTGATCAACGCAAATATATCTGGAATCAACTTTTTTTTGAATGAAGGGGGTTTCCTCGCCCCAATTTTATTATAAATGAGGCAAAGCCTAGCAACATAAACTGTTTCCAGCTCTTGAGCCTGACTAAAGTAGCAGGGCCATGATAGGTACCAAGTTGATTTGAAACATAAAGCCTACAAGTGCAACATCAGCGGCCAAACATCAACATTACACATCTAACTGGAATGACATCCCAGAGCTCCGGTGAAAGGTTAATATAGGCCACAATATCCACTTGTAGGTGGAGTCATCTCCATGACATCCTCAGGAGCTCTCCTCTTTGCTGATCCAGGAGCAACAAGCATCTTCGCATCAACACAGAGTAAGAGTCATTGCACAAGATCTGAATTGATGCAACACAGCGCTTACCCTTCTCAACGGAACCCTTACATCTTTCTAGACCAAGCGCTAGAAATGCATCTTGTTATAAACAATCCATAGGCTACATAAGGTAGCGACACATGACATGTTAGGAACATCCATCTTCTTAAAATTAAACCACATGAGACAAATATCATGAATTGATTTGGGAAGGGAAACTGAAAGATCTGAGCTACCACCTCCAAACAGCATGTGCGAAGTGGAACAAAACAAAAAGTGAGAAACAGATTCAGGTTCATTACGAACCATGCATGAAAAATATTCTACATGTTGTCTCTTACTCAAATTACCTCTAGTATAAGTATATGGTTGTGAGCTACCAACCATAAGAACACATGAAAATATGGTGGAACGGGGATTTCCCATAGCCATTTTCAGAAGGGAGCAGAAACCCCACCAAAGTTAATCATCTTATAACAGGACTTAGTGGAATAAATACTAGAGGCTTCAAATAACCAAATAGACCGACTATGATCAAGGTTGGGACCAAAAGGTTGCAATAAGGTTAAGAGTTCCTACCATTTACCCAAAAAACCAACATCAACACACCTCATTATAGAAAATTTAAGGGTGGAAACATCCCAAAACTGAGCTATAGAGCAATCTTATTGTTGATGTATGTCAAAACATCCCAAAATTGAGTTTGGAGAGTGCTATCTCCCAACCAAATATCATGGCAAAAAACTGATGTTTATTCCATTACCAAGAATCCTTTATAAAACGGCCTAACAACAACAAAAGCCCAAGTAATTCCTTTCCAAAAAGGGGAGCCACTTAGACAACACACCGGGTTAGCAGTGGTATACTTATAGTCAACAAAATATACCCCAATTCTTGTTAGCACTATGAAAATACCTCTTGGCCCAAGAAGCAAGCATGGCAAGATTGAAATCTCTAAAATTAGGTATACCCGCCCTACCAAATTATTTTTTGGGACACAAGCCCCCAATTTGTTAAGTGATATTTATGAACACCTCCAAGGTTACCCCACAAAAAGTGAGCCATTTGAGCGGAAATAACTTTGATAGCCCATTTAGGAAATTAAATATAGACATTAGGTACATAAGTATACTAGCAATGCAAGTCCTAAGCAAGACAAGCTTCGCCTCATAACTGAGTAATCTGCCCCTCCAGCCACAAATTCTCTTGGTAATCTTGTCAATAATGGGCTGAATACTTTCTCTACGTAATTCAAGATAGTGCAAAGGTACCCCTAGGTATTTCAAAGGGAAATCACTGTTTTGCAAACAAAAAATGTATGTTTAAATAGAACGTTGGCAACTTCCTCCTCCGCATGAATTCTAAGCAAATCACATTTGTTAAATAAAAAATTCATCCCCGAAAAGGTTACCAAAACAGGAAAGCAACCATTTAACATTCGTGGCATTTTCTATAGTAGGTTTATGAAAGAGAAGAGTACCATCAGTATAGTGCAAGCTAGTGACACTACCAGGAACAACATTGGGTAGAACACCAGAAATAATACCAACATTGGCAACTTTGGCTAGCATCCTGAAATCAACTTTATTCTTTTCGGTCTTTCAATCTCAAATGCATGCCATGCATGCTACTCCCTCCGTTTCTAAATATAAGTCTTTTGAGAGATTTCAATATGAAGTTATGAACTACATACAGACGTATGTAGACGTATTTTAGAGTGTAAATTCACTTATTTTGCTCCATATCTAGTCCCTATTGAATATCTAAAAAGACTTATATTTAGGAACGGAGGGAGTATTTTATAAAATTAAGCATTTTCATGGGAGTGAAAGTGATGGATCATGATGTACATTTCCATGTGAGAAAAAAAATGATGTACACTTTTCTATAGTCATGTCCAGGGCATTGTCATTGTATTTATATCAACAAGCATTGCCATTTTACTAGTGCATTTGTGGTAGCATGATGTGATTACATAGTCCATGCATAGGTTACGGGATGTCTTCATGTGGTGAGCTAGGGGGTGGCTTCTCCGGCGGATGCCCGCGGATCCATGGTTGGCAACGAGTCACAGATTAAGGACGGCGACACGATGGTGTCGCTCAGGGTGGCTCCGGCGTCCACAGATCTGCCGCTGGGTTGCTAGCAGTGGCTCAACAAAGCGAGGTATTGTCCGGTGGCTCGCGATTATGGTTGGCGCGGTGGACGGCAGAGGTCAGCTTTTGCTCGTCGATTGGCTTGGCTTGGGCGCAAGGTCTGGTCGATTTTGCGGCTGACTTGTTTTGATGCGGGTGCGTCTGTTGTTCGTTGGTTCTTTCCGGGTGGAAACCTAGTGCTGACCTTAGTCGGTGTCGGTGCCGGCGGCGGCCTCGGACATCATCCTCCTCCTTGGAGGCGTCACCGTGGAACTCCAACCTCTTTGTTAACCCAAATCCTTGGGTTTTTCGGGTGAAAATCAAGCTCTAGCTTTGGCCCAATTGAGCGGAAATGGTGCCTCATTGTTTCCCCTCTTGGGGGCGTTGCCTTTGGAGGCCTAGCCCGCGTATGATGGTCATGCTATTTGTCTTGCTATTTTGGTCTCGTCGGCAGGGTGGAGGAAGGGTGGAGGAAGTCGAGGCGGCGGCCTCGATTTTGCTAGTTGGATGCGGAGGTGGCGGCCCGGGACTACAGTGCGACAGTGGCCCTATGAGGTGGGGCCGTGGCTTTGCTCTGTGTTGGTGCCATTTCGATGCTTTGTGGGTGGCATGGTCTGTCATGCTTGTGTGTGTGTTTTGCATGATTGTGCCTTTATATTTCCTACTTATAAAGGTTGGAGTTGATGGTGAGCTCACTCGTGGGACCAACATCCCTCACCAATAAAGAAATGCACCATTATCCACATGCGGGACTAGCAAGCTTCCAAGAGACATAAAATAACAAATGCACTTTTACTCACATGTGGGATCTAAAACAAATTAACAAGTACACTACTACTTTCACACTTGAAGAATGCACAAATAACAAAATGCAAAAATGTGACTCCAACTCAAAATTATGCTCTCATAATTTCGTTTCGTAGCAACGCACGAGCATCATGCTAGTCAATCATATGGTCGGAGTTTTTGCACGATTGTCCCTTAATCAACCATGTGGTCGTGGGTTATCGCACAATTTTCCCTTAATCAATCATATGGCATGTGTGTGTGTGTGTCAGGTTTTTGGCCGGTTATCCCTGATTAACCGGACAATTCTTTTCTTCTTAATGAAATGCAGAAACCCATGTCTCTCTAGAGGTGTCATCGAAAAAAATATCACGAGATCAACCATGTATTGATGCCTCATGGAGTGCATTAGTCCGCAATGAAGTACTCTCTCCATATGG